CTCAGTGCTGAAGTTACAGGTGTGTCCTACCACACCTGCATACATTTGTCCCTTTTTTATTTAAATACTATATTAGATGCTATTATTTTCAGAATAACACAATTCCAGCATAGCAGGGCTCCCTCTCATCTTCTAATACCATGAATTTCCCCTTAAGTTTCAATGTGATAAAAAGAACATTTTTGTTTATTTGCATCCATCTTGTATTAGAGTTAGAGCAAGTAGAATTGTTTATAAATTTACAAATTAAGGAAAAAGTAAGAATAAGTAGTGCTGTCTTTCAAACAATTTTGATCTGAACAGATTAAAAAGCTAACATTCTGATCTGACCTATAAAAGATGATGGTGTAATTTGCTGGTGAGAATTCCCAAGTCATTTTTTTTTGCCATGTATAAAACTGCTAGTATCCTGCAAAAACTACCATCATGCCCCAATCCATAAATACTGCCATGTGATTGCCATTTTAAGCCTGAATCCCTGTCACCACACAGAAATTACTCCTGCTTAGTCTAGCAGGATATCCTATCAGAGGAGCCATTTAATAGGGCTGCAGTTAAAATTCAAGTTTTCTTTGCTACTAGTAATATATAACCATTTTACTGATTTTTACATAAGCAAGGAAATACTATGCAATGTAACAATCAGCAACTATCCTGAAAATGCATGTTTACAAAAGCCTACATTGCCTGATTACAAATAACCCAAAACTTTAAAGATGAAATTATACAGCCCGATAGGCAATTTATAATCAGTTTTATTTAATATCACAGTTACCAAGTATGGGGAGTTCTAATAATATTGTGCTAAAAATAATCAAAAGGAAGTGTGGGTGTGGTTCATTCCTCCCCAGTTCCACCACTACCAAGGATTTTCAAGGCCAAATTAGAATATTAGGCATTTGATGAGTTAAAAAAATGTTAAGGCAAAAATGTTTCATAATGCCATTTTTTACAAGATTGAGTAATATAAAGGCTAGATAGTATCTGAAAAAGCAGTAAAAATGTCAGTACAATGACATACAATGCCTTCTGAAGTTAGATTCTGACCACCTACACATCAAGCAAAAAAAAAATAGTGTTAGAAACAGGATACATAATTTAGTAAGAGACTACAGATATTCAAAGCATAACAATTAGGACTTCTACAACATGCCCTCCTTAATCTGAGTTAAGTTCTTCCTAACTAAATCTCTTCTGTTGATCTACTACCTACTCACTTTAAACTGGAATCCTCTTTTTAAATTTTTGCTAATTACCTTCTTTATAATTTAAAGATTACATTCTTCTCCGAGCCCCAGCATATAGCTTCAAACTTTATTTTCCTTGCTTGATTTGCTCTCCAAAATTATTTCACTTATAACAGAATGTTATTACATTTACATCTTATGGACCTTTCTGATACCATCCATCCTATGCTTGTTTCCATGTTACATAGAGCTTGACTGATTTTCCAGTGTTTAATCCTCTCAGGTTTCTGGAATCTTCCTGTGCTCTTCTGACACCCTCTTCCCCCTGATATATCATGAAATATAAGATGATCCACACTCCCAGCTTTGGTTTCCACTAGCATTAGCTAGGCAAAATACTGGGTACCCTAAAGTGATACAGTCTAGAAATTCTAAATAATGGTTGTATTTTGTACTTAATGTGTAGCAGATTTTGCCCTAAAAATTTGATATTAATCTTCATAAAAAAGAAACCTATCTGACAGATATTGTTATCACTCTATTGGTCAGTTGAAAAGTAGAGACGCAGAATGTTTACGACACTTGTTCTAGATCACATATAGAAATAAATGGTAGAACCTACACTTAAAACATTAAGGCCTCTGGTATTAATTTATTCCTTTATAAGAACATTGCATAAGTGGATATGTTCACGTCAGAGAGACATTTGCAGCTCCACCTAGAATAATGTGTCCTTTTGAAGAACATGTACAGCTCCTTACCTAACACAGGAAATTTGAATCATGGAGGGAGATTTTGTAGACTGTTCCTGTTGTCTCTACCACAGATCAGTTATGGAAAGATCTATAGAGATAGATTCCAGGAGTTTTTGCTCTGAAAAATACCACCAAGTGATTTTATATCCTTCTACACTTAAGACTACCATATTTATGCTGAGGTCCCACCTCACCCCAGAAAGAATGGCTGTTGTCAAGAAATCAACTAATAACAAATGCTGGCAGGGTAAAAGGAACCCTCCACTGTTGGTGGGAGTGTACACTGGTGCAACCACTGTGGAAATCAGTATGACGATACCTCAGAAAACTAGGATTAGAGGTCCCATTTGACCCAGCTATTCCCCTGCTGGGTATCCTCCCAAAAGAATTAAAGAAATCATACCACAGTGATACATGCACACCCATGTTTATAGCAGCACAGTTTTTAATAGCTAAAACTTTGAAACAGCCCTAGTGTCCATCAACTGGAGATTGGATAAAGAAGATGTGGCTTTTTAAAAAAAATGTAGCACTACTTAGCCATAAAGGATGAAAAACTAGAGACATTTATAGCTAAGTGGATGCACATTGAGGCCATACTCTTAAGTGAAATAAATAGGACACATATGTGTAAATATCAAATAGTTTCTCTAGTGTGAGAAACTGAAAGTGTAAATAATGATCCAAATGTATAATAGATAATGTGAAATAGGAAGAAAAGGTCCAAAGGGGAAGGGAAAGTGGAAAGGGTAGAGGAAAGGAAAGGAGGAAAAAGAATAAGTATGAGAAAAGAAAATAATGGAAACAATCTTTGTAAATAGGGAAGGGTGGAGGGGGTGAAGGGAGGGCAGGGGAATGGGGAAAAATAAGAAACAAGATATATCATGTAAAGGGACAATTCTCCAGTGATGAATGTCATTATATTGTATACCTAAAATGTACCAATAAACTTAATGAATAAAAAAAGACTACCATATTTGGAAAGTATAATTTTGGTTATTAATTAGCAATATTTGAAACATCCTTACCTACTAGTGGTGCGTGTGTTTGGGGACTGTTGTACTGAGTGGACAGAATAGCTTGTGAAAATCAATTTGCTCAAACATCCTCAGTACACTGGGGAAGACATCCAACCTGCAGTGAAAAGGACCCTCTCTGACACAGAACCTTTCTGCCATCTGACTGACTCATCTACCTCTCTCTGGCCTATTTTCTTCTCTGAGATTTAAGTCCCTTACTTTCAAATTTATTTTGCATCAAATTCTAACTAGAAGATATATTTCTTAAAATAAAATTTCTTAAAATAAAATAAAATTTCATAAAAATATCAATTCCAATCTGAAAAAGTATCATCTGAGCCTAATTCCTCCTTGATCTTGCAAGTTATTCCCCTCTTCTATCTCATTGATAAATGCTGTGGGTCTGGATCCTACCATTTTAAAATGTTTTGTAATGTCCTTCAGTGTCCATTGTCATTATCCCTATTCAGGCCTCTATCCCTCTGTAGTAGATGGCAATACATTTCTTAATTTCTCTTTGTCTCTTTGTCTCTGTTGTTTTAATGCTGAAATGAATTATCCTCCCTGCTAATTGGTTAATTTCCTTAAGTCGCTTCAGGGAAGCTGCTAAACTCTCTGCTCATAGGTTGACTATGTCTTGTCTCCCACACCAAAAGGATCATGTCTGAAGTGACACATTCTAATTGCTGCCCTCCCCCTACAAAGAAATCCTCTCCCAAGTAAATTTTGCAGCAGGATTTGTGCAGCATTACCAACCCATCCGGACACCTCACTGGGCTCTGAAACAGGGTGTATTGTCTTACTACCCAGCCTTTGGTTATTCTGTTGTCTCTTTGAATGTCTCCAGTCTCTGCACTTGAGAGTCACTCATTCTTTAGGAACAAGATCAATCACTATCTTTGACATGCAGCCTTCTCTGACCCTCCTTCTAGAGTAAACTTTCCTTAAACTAAATCCCAACATCATTTTCCTTAACACATTGATAGTAGCAGTTGACATTCATTGCAACACCATTATGACCCAAGTATTGTGTTACATTACTTATATATGATTCTGTTTGGTCATTACAAAAATTATGATGTAACAAACATCTTGCTGATGAGGACTTAGAAGCTAAAAAGGATTAGGAAGATTACTCAGAGATGCAAAGCTGGTAAGCTTTAGACCTTGCATTCAGTCTCCTACCTGACAGCTGTGAGAATTCACTACACTTTTACTTATCACTAACAATGTGTGTAAGCCATGTGTGAACTGTTATTGTAGGCAGGAAGGAGACTAGATAGAATACGTAGTTCTACAAGAGATACAAAAGATAATACTCTATTTGGGGAATGAGAGGGGCCCTTGATACCAGAGAGCATGAGCAATTATCAAAGAAAATAAATACAGTTTCTTAAATAGAATCTGCTCAGCTTAGATAACAAATTAAAATGAAATAGGTAAAATAATAATAAATCAGAGATAGAGAATTCTACTCTATAAAATAAAGGCACCCAGTGGGAGAGAACAAGAATAACCTATCCCTCCATTTAGCAAGGCATTAAACTAATCTCTCAAATTGTCATACACTGAATTTCAGATCCTGGGAAAACATTGTACACAATATACTAATTATGTAATGATCTTAGAAATCTCTCTAGTGTTCCCAGTAGAGTTCCTGCCAACTCTACCTTAAAATTGGACACTTTAAAATCATCATTTTTTTTCAGCTTGGTTAGAAAACATGTAATGATCTTACTGTATTAAGGAAAGTCTTACTTCTTAATGGGTTTCAGTAATGAGGGGCACCATCTATGGAGTTGAAAGTGAAAATTCTGGTTTTGAGCCCACCATGAGTGGATCAAAGTAGGCAGATCAGGAAACCTGTCTCTGCATACCCAAGCAGCTGGGAAGAAGGGCAGGCACAGGCAGAGTGGGCTCTTTCAGGCCTGGCGGGTGGTAAAATTTTGCCCCAAGTCCTGGGATAACTGACTTAGCAGACTTTGATTCCCAGTCTTTGATCTAGCCTCCAAGAGGCAAGTGCCCCTTTGCACTATCCTTCACCCCTTACCCAGTAAGCTCCCTTGGAAAGCATTTTTCAGAGCGGTCTGCACAGCCTGATTTCTTAGACAATAAACAATGGGATTGAGGAGAGGGGTCACCACAGTATAGGTGACAGCAATAAGCTGATCCCTTTCAGGAGAGTAGCTAGCTTTGGGCCTCAAGTAAATGAAAGAGGCACAGCCATAGTGAATAATGACCACTGTGAAGTGTGAGGCACAGGTGGAAAAAGCCTTCTTCCGGCCCTTGGCAGAGGGGATCCTCAGGATATTTGCCAGGATGTAAGTGTAGGAGATGGTGATGAAGATGAAGGAGACCAAGAGGACCACCAAGCTGAGGATGAGGATCCCCAGCTCACTCAGTGCTGTGTCCCCACAGGCGAGGCTCAGGACAGGAGGTGTGTCACAGAAAAAGTGTTGGATCTCATGGGAGCTGCAGAAGGAGAGGCAGAAAATCACCAGTGTCATTCCCAGGCCAAAGAGGTATCCGCTCAGAAAGGAGGCAATGACTAGTTGACAACAGAGGGTGGGATTCATGAAGCTGGCATAGTGCAGCGGGGCACAGATGGCCACATATCTGTCAAAGCCCATAACAGCCAGAAGGAAGCAGTTGGTACAGGCCCACGAGGCAGAGAAGAACATCTGGGCAGCGCAGCCTGCATAGGAGATGGCCTGGCTTCCCACAGCCAGGCCGCAGAGCATCTTAGGGATGATACCCAAAGTGTAGCAGGTTTCAGAGAAGGACAGGAAGGAAAGGAAAAGGTACATGGGAGTGTGTAGATGACTATCCAGCCTTATGACTACAATAATGAAGACATTGCTGGTCAGTGTAATGAGATACAGAGACAGGAACAAGGCAAAAAGCAGGAGTTGCACCTCTCCAAAGCTGGAGAAGCCCAGAAAGACAAAGCCCCTCCAGCAGGTTACATTTTTCTGCACCATTCTGAGTGATATTGCTGACAGGTTTGTTGATTCCTTCCACCATACCAGTAGATGTCTAGCTTCCTTAAAAGGCACGGGAGACTCTTTGCTTTGTGCCTGTTGTAAACAAAAAAGGAAGATCTGATTTACTCTAGAGTCAAATTTCAGAAAGTTATTTGTTATATTAGGAACAAAAATGTATGGATCCACTCTCACATGCATGCATGTACATAGACATGTGCACAGATACACAATCATTATACATATTCATGTGCCCATACTCACAATGAACACATATATGACTGCATATATACAGGCACATAGAAAATACATACATTCTAATTATGCATATTTCACATATTCAGAATTATGCATTGCACACTACTATTACCATATCCATAAATATAAAAGTCATGTCCTTACATGACAAACACATAAGTATTCAGATAATCAGCAGATTAGAAGAACCATGTTCCACATACACGTTCATACTGATTGTACATATACTGGAATGCACACAAAGACACAAATATACATTGTCTATTAGAGTGTGCAGTGGAAATAGAGGGCTTGATGGACATAATTTTATAGATCAGACAACAAAGACCAAGAAAGGTGAAGTGACTCTCTTGAAGTTACACAGAAGAGAATATGTAGAGTTCTAATCTAACTTTAATTTACTCATACAATGATTACTCTCTTTAGGCATGGTGGGAAACTTATCCCTGTGAATATAAATTAAGGAACATCTTGTTCAACATTAATCACTTTCTTCTATTCAACTCTCCCCAAGTTGCTTTACCCTTTCCCAACTCCTTGGGCAGAGTAGAGTAGACTTTTACATGTTCAACCATGCTGAGCACTGGAGGAAGAACAGGGTTTGGGTGGGTCTTGCATCAAGCATCCCTATTGCATCAAGATCAACTATTACATTCTGCTGACCCCCCCAAAAAAGTGTGCTGTGAAGGAAAAGCCAAACTGTGGGAGAGATTAATTCAGGGAAGATTCTCTACTTACCCAAAGAGACTCACAGTGAGAGTAAATTCTACCCTTTAGCAGCCATGCACTATACTGTATTATAGAAGGTGAAAGACCTGAAGTCCATCTCAGAAACCCCTATTCTGAGTACAGTGATCTCCAAATGATACCAAAAAACCTCTTTCAAAAACCTCTGGCCCCAAGTGATGAATCACATTTGCTTCTATCCAAACAGTGTCTCTCTGAGGACTCTGCAGTCCCATTGGGTACTATTTCAGGAAGCCCATCTAATTGTGCTTCTTGTCATTAGTTGGGAATATCCTTTTGGGGCAAGTAGAAAAGAGAATGTGAACAAAGAAATGCTAAGATTGTGATTCAAGCCATAATTTGTGTATCTATTATGTGCTGAATATATTGTTTTTACATGATAAATCTCTTAAAACTTACAAGCTAGTTAGATAATGTTCATATTTACATTTTACAGAAGAGAAAACAGAGTCCAATAGTGATGCAATGACTAGTACAAGATCACGGAACTCAGGATTTGTGCTTTTATAGTCACACTATAAGACATAATTTTATAATGTAATAATCAGGAATTATCAAAACCATTCTGAAGAGTATCTTGGTCTCTCTCAGGGTCAGTTTCTTCCTTTATCCTCATCTATCTATCCCACTTTCTTAACACAGCTTTACTTATTTTCATCCTCTTTTATTTTTCTATAGTATTATAATGTCTGTGCCCAAATTTTCAATGGACTCTCCATCCATAGATTGTCCTGAAAGCTGGAAATGTTCCAAATAACAGCATAGATAAACACTTTATCTGACTGCTCATTTTCAAAATGTGTGTTTCTACAATATTTCCATTTCAATATTTATCTTCATTCATTCAATGACTCAATATAACAATAATGATAATGAATTTAAGGCCAGAAAATGACTAAATCCATTGTATGGATTAAAAGATTATTATCTGTTTTTCAGGTAAATAATTGAGGCATGGGGAAATTAAATATCTTAAAATAACACAGTCAATTGACAACACATGGCAAGTAGACTCAGAACTTTTTGTCCTGACTATAAAGTCATTTCTGGTACCTTGTTTCAATTAGGAAGAGCTAAAAGATGAGTAAGATGTGAAAGTGAGTACAGTGTTAGTATAAACACTGGATTTATAACTACTTTTCTTGTGCTCTTGTTATAGCTTTTGGTCTAGGATTTACAGTATGGATTTTAACCATAATCTATGTAGGTTCATATTAAATTATTTTCAATAAAATATTGAAAGTTTCCAATGGTATAATTTCATTTATTTAAATCTAAATCACATGTTTACAATTTTAAACCCATTTGTGATTTTAAAAAACCCAGACGAAACTAGGTGTAGAAGGATCTTACCTCAGTCTGATAAAAGCCATTTATGATAACCCAACTGCCAACATCACATTAAGTTGGAGAGAAGCTAAAAGCTTTCCCTCTAAAATCAGGAACAAGAAAAGGAGGCTGCTCACTCCTGTTCAATAGAGTGCTCAAAACATTACCCAGAGCAATCAAGATGAAGAAAGAAATGAAAGGAATATTATAGAAATGGAAGAAATTGAATTATCATTATTTGCAGATGACATTGTCCTCTACATAGAAGATCCAAAAAAATTCCACCAATGTCTTCTACAATTAATAAGCAAATTTAGCAGTATACAGATCCAAATGTGGCAGGATATAAAATCAATATATAAAAATCAATAACATTCATGTACACCAATGATCAACTCACTGACAAAGAAATTAAGAAAACAATACCATTCTCAATAGCACCAAGAAAAATTAAATACTTAGAAATTAACTTGACCAAGGCCAGGAAAAACCTCAAAAACAAGAACTACAATACTCTTTTTTAAAAAAAGGATCAAAGATGGAGTGGGTGATTTAGCTCAGTGGTTTCGCAGCCTGTTGTGCAAGCACAAGGACCTGAGTTTGATCCCCGATACCAAAAGAAAAAAAAAGGATCAAAGAGGACACTGGAAAATAGAAAGGTATCCCCTGTTCCTGGATAGGGAGAATCAATGTCAAAATGGCCATATTTGCAAAACTGTTACATGGATCTAAGGCAATTGAAATCAAAATACTAATAGCATTGTTTGCAGAACTGCAAAAAAATCCTAAAGTTCATATGAAACCAGAAGAGACCCAGAATAGCAAGAGCAATTCTGGGTAACAAGAGCAAATGAGGTGGGATCACAATCCCATATTTCAAGGTATATTACAAATTATAATGGTATAACAGCATAGTACTGACACAAAAATGGACATGTGGATCAATGGAACAAAATAGAGGGCACAGAAACAATCCCAGGCACAGGTAGCCACCTGTGACAAAGGGAACAGAAAATATATGCTGGAGGAAAGATAGCCTCTATTGCAAATGTTCTGGGAAAACTGGCTATATACATGCAGAAGACTGAATTTAGATCCGTTATCTCTTGCCATGTACTAAACTAAAATCAAAATGAATCAAAGATCTAAAAATTAAAACAGAAACACTTAATCCATTGTAAGACAAAATTGGTAAAATTCTTGAAGTCATAGGCATACGTAAAGATTTTCTGAACAGAACACCAATTTCACAAGAAATAACATTGAATAAACAAATGGGATTACATCAAATTAAAAAGCTTCTGTACAGCAAACAAAACAATTAAGAGTGAAGAAACAGAATGTGAAAATATGTTTTTCCAGCTATACCTTGGACACAGGACTAATATCTAATAAAGACTAAAAAAATACTAGACCCCCCCAAATAAAAAACCCAATCAGAAATGGGCAACTGAAATGAACAGATACTTCTCAGAATTACAAATGGAACATAAGTAGATGAAAAATGTTCAACATCACTCATCATTGAAGAAGTTCAAATTAGAACAACACTGAGATTTCATCTTATTCAAAAAAGAATAGCAACTATCAAGCAAACAAATGATGATGAGGCTGTGATGACAAAGAAACTCTCCTACATTATTGGTGGAAATGTAAACTAATAAAACTTCTGAAGGAATTTGTATGAACAACTAAAGCTAGAAAATGGATTGAGCCTAGCCAGACCCCTACTAGTCATCTTTCCAAAGAGTCAAATGCATCATATTACAGTGATATGTGCATATCAATGTTTATAGCATCACAGTTGGTAATAGCTAATTCTTGGAAGTAGCCTATGTCTTCATCAGCTGACAAATGGATAAAGAAAATGTGGTATTTATACATAATGGACTACTTCTCTGCTAAAAAGAAGGATACATTTGAGTCATTTGTAAGAAAATGCATGCACCTTTTAAACATAATGTGAAGTGAAATAAATCTGACACACAAGCTTAAATACTGTATGGTTTCTCTTACATGAGAAATCCAAAGTATGATAAAGTAAGAGCAAAATAAAAGATGGATAAAAGGAAATAGGGAGATAGATCTACAGCCAATGGAACAAAAGACAAGAGATGGTGGGAGTGGGTAAGGAAGGAGGGGAAGGGGACATAAAAATAATTAAAATATGTCTTATACATGTACCAAATATTCACAGTGAAAGTATGTACTCATCATGTATCTCAAACATATACTAATAAATTAAAAATAAATAAAGAAAATAAGAGAATTTCTCTATATGCATAATCGTTTTTGCTTTTAACCAATGCTTACTGTTTCCAGTGCTCTTCATTCTTTTCAGTATAACCAAGTTACTGTTATGTTTCATTTTTCTCGTTTCAACACTTTCCCTTTAGCCTAAGATTTACATGTAGTGTATGTTGATGTATGTGATTCTGTTTTTAAGTGTTTATGTATGTAAATGGAAACCCAAGAATTTTAAAATTTGAACCCATAATGGAAATTAGTGCAATAACTGTGTTCACGTGATCGTTATATTGCTGCAAATCTGAAGAGATCAAGATATGTTAACTTTTCACAAATCTGCCACTAGAGACTATGGTTTAAGGAAATATGTTCGGTTATTAAGTTGACCAGGGGTGGATTGTGGTGGATTGACTAATGGT